AAAGAATGATTTAATCAAAGATGCCAAAAACAAATAATTCATGAATTACTTTTACTGATTATCTCTGTTAAAATTAAAACAACTTTAAAATTTCGTCTCCACTATAACAGAAAACGTATTAGATTTTGCTATCACTCATTTGTCGTATTTACCTGCTACAAATGGTTTGCTCACAATAATATACATATCAAAGATGAAATATTTTTGTATACAACGTTGTCAGATGTAGGTTTCACAGATAGTCGCCACACTGTCTATATACTGTATCATTACTGTATGCTCGTATGCATTTTCTTTTGTGGTTTGTAGCCATTTAGATAGGTTTGTGGTACAAACTATCGTGATAACCCACGTAATCAGTAGTCAAATACGTTGTATTTATTTTCGTTGTTCTGTATAAATCATGAAAACCATGAACATTCTGAAAGAAATTGGACTGGGTACAAACTGTTGTAGTTACCCAACGCAAACAAGACTCAAGTTTATCAATAAAATGCGTTGTTTGTTATTTTCGTGGTTCTGTTTAAATCATGAAAACCATGAACATTCTTAAAAAAAATGGTCTGGGTACAAACTGTCGTAGTTACCCAACGCAAACAAGACTCAAGTTTATCAATCAAATTCGTTGTTTGTTATTTTTGTGGTTCTGTATAGATCATGAAAACGATGAACATTCTTTTACACAGTGAACATACTATGATTTAAAGAAATTGGTCTGGGTACAAACTGCCGTAGTCACCCAACCCAAGCAGAAATAAAGTAGATCAAACAAATTCATTGTTGTTATTTTCGTGTTTCTACATCAACCACCAAAACTATGAACATATACATACAGTGAACAGTTCGTGTTTAAAGAAAACGGTCTGAGTATTTTTGTCAATCTCTAGTTTACCAGATAACAGTATTGATATTTAATTTCACGTATAACTGTCGATTTTTCCTGAAAAGTCATACTTAAGACGTCAGTGATGACATGGTGTTCAGAGAGTCAGTTATCTACTGAGAGCTTCGTAGATCGTGCGCCTAATGTCTGGTATATAACAACTGTATGGGACGCAATTCTCAAGAAATAGGGCAACATCCAAGGAGAGCGTCTTTTCCAGACCAGTACAACTTTTCGTTCCAATTTTAATGATGTGGACGTTGAATGAGACCCTTTTTGCTGCTTCTAATGTATCACCTCGGCATATTTTGCAGTTGATGTCAGGGTTTATTCTTCATTTATAAGATATAATTTTTAATAACCGTTGTTTTGTCGACGGGTGATAATATAAAGTGAGAAAATCACTTTGTTGGTTATTTGCGTCACCAATATTTGTAGTATAATGCTTATTTGTTGATGAAGGAGTCTGGAATTCTACAAAACATAAACAAATATGAAATAAAATTTAAAGGAATTTTAAAAGTGTACAAATAAAATAACTGTGCTTTGATTATTACAGTAGCAATAAGTGTGCTAAGATTGTGTCTCAATTCAGATAATTTGTAATTGCTCCCTCTAGGTTTTTTTGAATAGTATTGACAAAACATGTTCTACATTTCTTATAGTACAAAAATTTGAATGGTCAACTGTTAATTTAATCAGAATACGTATTCAAAGGGGCGATTTGTGTTATTTATAATATTGTTAAGAGCTCAGAAGGAACGTGTCTTTTGAAAAATATCTACATTTTAGTGATCTTTAAACCTCTGGTGTTTTATCAGGAGAATCACTTGATTTCCTGCGGTTCAATCCATATTCAGATGAGACAGTTTTCACTGTTTATAGAAGTACAAACGCCTAACACTTTGGCAAATAGAACAAACAGTTTGCCCAATGTAGTTGTCAGCTTGTTTTGATTTTATGCAGGATCCAATTTCAACAGAGTCAATACTATTTGACATTTTCATTATACAATCATATGCGGAATACCTACCAATCAAACGGCCAGCCTTTGTTTCGGGCTTTTTCCATATCTGTTGAATCTGAAACAACACACAGTTACAAAATGACACAATGGTGAGAATTTACTTTGATAATAAATCTTATAATAGAAACAATCATCATAGTTGCATCTTTTTTCGTTCGTGATGAACTTTTTCTTAATGTATTAAAACATATTTAAAGAACAACTAAACAGCAAAATGCCTATCGCCTTTCCTTGATGAATTTTATCATTTCTCTCAAATTTTTTGACATTTATATTATCTATATTCCACTTTCCAATCCATGTAGGGAATATAGGTAATATATATTAATGTTAGCTGTATAAATATAATGGTCTCTGCTATTTTTGGTATTCCCTTATATATCTACGTTTACAGCCGAATGTTAAACATGCATTTATCTTTGCTGTCATCTTTGACAATATTCTAAAAACGGTATGGCACTTTGCGTTGATTTATCGACCATATCACTTTGCTCATTTCGATATATTTACAGGCTGATATAATTATTGTGATGATATTGTACCTAATAACATACCGATTGACACGTTGTCGTAGTCCCAGTGTTTACTTGCCTCCTCAGATTTATCTAGATTGTCTAGATTATCCAGATCGACCTGTCTCTCTTTTTTATGTGCATCATCTCCTTAGCACGAACATTTGAGTAACTTCCATACGTATCTTTGGCTCCTGTAATATGACAATGTAATGAAACCGATTAGATGAACAGCGCCAGAATATTAAATTACATCAGAAATTAGAATCATCAAAAATATAACAGGATTAATAAACATCAATAATAACAAAAATATAACAAGAACCCCCATAAAAATATACCAAAACAAATTCAATACTATAACAAAGAAAAACCTGTTTGCCATCATTTTATATCTTGTATCACATCATAAGTCGATATATTGTAGTTTGTCATCATAAGATATCTTGTATCATGTCATCAATCGATAAATTGAAGTTTGTCATCATTGTATAGCTTGTTTCATGTCTTAAGTCGATATATTGTATTTTTTCATCATTCGATATATTGTTTCATGTCTTCATTAGATATATTGTGGTTTGTCATCATTAGATACCTTGTATCATGTCATCAATCGATAAATCGAAGTTTGTCATCATTGTATATCTTGTTTAATGTCATCAGTCCATATATTGTAGTCTGTCATCATTAGATATCATGTATTATGTCATAAGACGATATATTGTAGTTTTTCATCTTAAGATACACGTATCTCGTATCCTGTCATCATAAGATATATTGTAGTTTGTCATCATTAGATAGCTTGTATCATGTCATCAGTCCATATATTGAAGTTTGTCATCATTATATATATTGTATCATTTCATCAGTCCATATATTGAAGTTTGTCATCATTATATATCGGGTATCTTGTCATCAGTCCATATATTTTTGTTTGCTAACATTAAATATCTTGTTTCATGTCATCAGTCCATATATTGTAGTTTGTCATCATTCGATATATTGTTTCATGTCTTCATTAGATATATTGTGGTTTGTCATCATTAGATACCTTGTATCATGTCATCAATCGATAAATCGAAGTTTGTCATCATTGTATATCTTGTTTAATGTCATCAGTCCATATATTGTAGTCTGTCATCATTTGATATCTTGTATCATGTCATAAGACGATATATTGTAGTTTTTCATCTTAAGATGCATGTATCTTGTATCCTGTCATCGTAAGATATCTTGTATCATGTCATCATTAGATATATTGTTGTTTGCCACCATTAGATAGCTTGTATAATGTCACCAGTCGATATTTGCTCTATTTTATTCCAAATTATGAAGTTGACATCATCTTGCATCGCAGTTTATTTCTGTGCAGTATATTATTCGTACACAGAATCAGTGTCACGCCGAAAATATAATAAAATGGTCATTCCAAATGCACCCGATATACACGGTAAGGTATCATCAAAGGGTACTCGAAGAAAGCATGAACTCAATATTTACAAGAGAAATAAATGTTTACAGAGTTGTATTTCATTATGATATATTTATTATATATGTAGTTTAACTGCTTTAAAGACAGGTCCTCCTAAAATACAATACACAAAAGCATATATACACCTACGTACACCTTCAAGGGCCTCACTCTATTCATACCTTACCGGGTCCTATTCAGGTCTTACAAAGGAGGCCATTTGAATGACTACATCGCTAATTTCTGTTAACAAGGACATATGTAGAAGGACACACAATATATATACTAAACATTATAGCCAATATCACTAGGTAATGATGTGATTGTGTTCTTATTGATGTTATTGTCTGCTATCTGGTTTAATGTTGTTCAAACCAAAGTCCAACCACTTTCATCTACACAAATACAAACAAAGACATTACTAACCACGAATAGTGCGAGTTTGAGTGCAATTCAACTTTAGTTAAATGCATGAATTGAAAAAGAAAGTTGTAGAGTAAATAATAATATTTTTTCATATAATGATGTGGGAGGTTTTCGATAGATTAGAATAATAATACCACTTTTTCAACAAACCTGGGTTATATATCGATAATAAAAGTCACACATAAATAAAACAAAGCTTTATTCAGTAACTAAGCAGGAACAAATATTACAAGTAAATGACACACACACATAACACAGGTAGCATCATACTCGACCTTCACTCAAGCTACAATAAAGTTTATTTCTGTGCAGCATATTATTTGTACAATTTGTATTAAATTATCACTGTCTTAATAAAGTCATGAATTATGAAAAATTATGAAAGATATAACGATAGTGCACCATTTATGATTTTTGTAATGTGCACTATTATTTCTCGCAACAACGTTATCTAGAAGAAGTGGAGATAACTCTTCTCGTAGTAATATGATTTGTCTTTTGGTTTGAAATCAGCTGACCGGTCGCACGAGAATCGTTGTTTTCATAGTGTATCCATGACCTAATGACAGTTGTTTTCAGTAGGTAGATTCATATACAGACAAACATCACGAATTTAAATATAAGCAGATATTTCAAAACGCTTATTTTACCTACAATTGGTCAGTAAAATAACAAAACACCGTTAATGTCAACTTTATTTCAGCAACAAATATGGCAATTGGTGTCTATTGTGTCTTTTGTCTGGCAAAATAGCAACAGGTGTCCGAAATGTGATCGTTGTATGTTTGCACTGAAATGTATCGCCGAGTTTATGTTGGCTGTAACACTTTCTATTATGAGATGTATGTTCTGTTATAGTGTACACATTGCCAGGTTTGAGGTGGATGTACTCGCTGTCCTTCAACAAAACTTCCCCGATTTCATCGTATTCGCTTTTAACCCGAGAGATGTTATTAGCTTTGTAAATAACCTCTGTATTTTCATAAATGACTACGTTGACAGTATTGTCACCGATGGAGTAGTATGATCCAAATCCTCGTAAGCGTATACTGTCAGATACTGTAAACGACACCGACTCCTTTCCAGCAATCCAAGCTTCGTGTACAATTCCCTTAACACGCCATACTCTTTCTTTTATCCTATCAATTCTTCTCTCGTTATGATTAAGTTTGCTGCCTGATACCTTCTCCCGGTGATGTCGATAGTTGATTGTTTGAATGGCATCCTCAGCAGGAAGTACCTTGTGATGACAAACTTTCTTTTGAAAAAAGTCATCATCCATCACAGAAAACCGGACAGTGTAGAGGATATCTCCTAAGACCTTCCTTTTGTTATCAGATGAGGCCTACAATGAGGAAGCAACACGAATATAGACTACTTTAATGGAATAATGTTATAATATTTCATTTATGATTGATTGTTTTCTTTCTGTTGTAATTTTATTTGAATTAGTTTTAGGATTGCATCATGATGGTTACCACGATTGATGACGGAAGTGAGTGTGAAAATGCAGGACCTCGTGCCGTTTTAAATACTACAATAGCATTCGTTTTCCAGTGTGTTCCTTAATTAGACGTTCTGCTAAACAGAATATCCTGAACCACGAATACGCCTCGAGATAATTTAGCATGTGTGGTTTAAACTATAGTCGGAGAGTCCTGTAGCGCAGCATATCAAAGTGACATAGTAAATGAACAATCTTGTATTAAGCACATAAGTATCGGCGGTTGACGTAGGTGATGTGTTCATTCACAAACTAGATATGTTCGAAATTGGATGAAGATTAGAGTTACTCCTGATTTCGGGAAGGACTGGAGAAGTTTTGAGACGTCTACAATGAGTTGTGTAAATAAGGTAAACCAGTACAGAATAATACATTGTTGTAATAGTGTTAATTGTACTTGTTTGAACACGAGTTATAATACCTCATTTGACTTTGTTACTTTTAGTCCTTTGGAAGTTATTACCAGAACAATAATAGAGCTACATGGAAGAACTAGTCAGAAATGTCAGATCTGAAAATAAAGTGTAAGTATTCGGGAGATTATATGTAATGTGTGTGTGTGTGTGTGTGTGTGGGGGGGGGGGGGGGGGGGGGGGGTAAACTTGTGTTGATTTATCTTATTGTTACTGTTGTCTGGAGTCTAGAGACTGTCATATCAACATCCAGAGAGGCAGGAGATCTAAAGATAAGTAACAATGTGTGTAGAAAAGACAACAAGTGATCACCGAGAAAGGATCAGATGTGTTGTATGAAGTGCATTTCACTGTATCAAAGTCGAGTAAAAGGTAATATCCGCTATGACTGGTGAAAACAGTGGGGATATTGTACCAGACTGGAAATCAGTGATACGGCTGGAATTAAATTTAGGCAACAAGCAATTAACTTGATATGGGGCAGCATAAATCATAAACAGCCTGATCGCTTTATGTTTAATAGGCCTGCTCCGGAGTAAATTCTGAACAAGCTCGTGGTAAAACATGGTTTGATTATCTAAAATGGATACTTCCTAACTGACACTGATATGACAGGTAAAACTGAAACATTTAGAGAGGGAGAGTCTTTGCTAGGCATACATACGTTTTTTAATGTGTAGGTTTGACAGGAAAAATAGTCACATGCAATAGGGGTTGGTACTAACAAACTGCAGGTGTGGACTATGTGACATTTTGGATTGGAGGAGTACTTTGATGGAGAGTGGATTGGAGGAGTACTAGGATGGAGAGTGGATTGGAAGAGGATTCGGATAGGGAATGGATTGAGGGAGCACTTGGATAGGGATTGGATTAAAGCATATGTTTGGATTTGAGTGTAAGTCTACGACCTATATAGTAGAGATATTTGGTGAGACGTTTAGAGATAGATAACTGTAGTTAAGGTTGAGAACCCATATGAATTGTACATGTTTTTTGTGAACTTTTGCTGGGTTCTGTAATAAATGTTTAGTAAATTGGAACTGCACTTGTAAGTTTTATTCTTGACGGAATTAACAAATTAAGGAAGAAATGGTGTCAAAAGCGGAAGTTTAAACTCGTTACACATGTATGGGATAATATACTTCGACATTTATCAAAGATGTATTCGTATGTGTCTGTCGGTGTGTTTTATGAATTTGACTAATGTGTATCAGAAGAAACATTTATAAAACTTACATCTAGGTTTTGTCGTTTACATTCCGCCTCTGCCCACATTACGACGGCATTGTACACATCACTCTCGTCTGCTTGTAGGTCATCAGACTCGGTAATGCTGACCACACAGCTCGGACACAGGTCAGCAAATGATGAGGACTTCAGTATATTGTATGGGAAGTCAGAAATCAACTGAAGGCATTCCGTTTTAAGATTTTCCATCAGGAACTCGTGAGCTAGCTCCAGAAACAGACAGGCATTGTCTACGGACACAGTTTGGTTCAGAAACTCCTCACATTTGGAAACAAGAATGTCTACACAGTATTTCCTGGCAACACTTAAAACCGGTACTGTGTTCTTCTCTGTTAGGTCGATTTTGTCTGTATACAGATACCTAGGAACAAAAAAGATATAAAAACAACAAGCGTTAACTGCAACGGCCACTTTAACACAGATCGCACTAACTTTGTACACGGGGTTGTATCATATCTGATTTAAATGATTTTAAACCCCGAACGTTCAATTCAATAGGTACTTATATTAACAATGTATTTTTGGTTTTTGTCCCCGTAAAGTATGGATATAGACTGATAAAAAATCATCAATTAAATTATTTAACCAATACCATAATGATCTTGTCGACGTGAAAATGGTCTCAAATGTCGATTAAAAAAGTAAAAATGCAACTTAGTAATGATTTCGAAACATAGGATATTGTTGTTCTGGACATTATTACCGGACCAGAGGAAACAAAAACCACTCAAAACTCTGCAGGGTGTCAAAACTAGTCGCCAATAAGGATAACACACAATGGGATAGAACAGGTCTATGTGTTTTCCAATGCCGTATAGTGTTTAAGTTAATGATATAAATGGGTATGTATCTATTACAGTTTAAGAATGTTTATAGCAAATGACGAAGTGTAGTGTATTCGAGGTATGTGGTTTCAGAGGAAACCGTGAGAGGATGCTCAAATCCTCCATTTTTTTTAAGACAGAAATATTTTCCATTTTTATAAACATCCATAACCCGACCTTGGTTTTAATTAAGACTAAATGCCTGAGCAACATTTTGAATCTGAATGCACTTTATAAGAATGATAGCTGTTTAATTAAGAATACTTTTTTAACAATTGCTATTATCTCCAGGACCCTGACATAGCCTTATTAGCTTGTTGTATTGGGTATTTAATGAGTGATGGACATGAAACAATATCTCCCAATTCTCTCTCTCCCCTCTCCACCTTCCCCCTTTGTTGTCAATATGTCATTAACAGATATATGCACTTGCGTTCATCTGATGATAATCTGATGATGATGATGATGATGATGATGATGATGATGATGTGAAAATTTGAGGATGATCATAAATTGTTGATGCTAGTAATGAAGTAATGATGGTGATAAAAAATAGTCAGTGATAATGATGATGATTACATATTGTAGAGGATGCTGATCAATATGTTATTGATGAGGATTTGGGATGATGGTAAATGATTATGATGATGATCATACATTGTAGAAGTGATGATATGTTGTTGATGAGGATGTAAGATGAGGATGTATGATGATGTTTATCATACATTGATGATAGTGTATAACGAGGATGATGACAATGACAATATGTTGCTATCGATGAGGATGACGGTGATGTGATGACCATGGTGCAAGATGATGGTGTATGATGATATTCACATATTATTGATGATGATGATGATGATGATGATGATGATGATGATGATGATGATGGATGAAAGATGAAGGATGAGGATGATGATGGATGAAAGATGAAGGATGAGGATGATGACTAAGTGTTATTTTGAATGTGTGGATGTGAGTGTGAGAGAATGTGCTATTTTTTGTATATGAAAAATAAAAAAACACCAAAAATAAAATATTAATCCAATTATTAATAATCATCTAAGATAATGCTGATATGACCTGACATAAAACAGAATTTCTATTGTCGGAATAATATGCGCAGCATTTCTTTTGTTCAAATCAAATGGAACCATTATGTGGAAAATGGCGATATTTTGGGAACCAGTTAAAGCCCTTATGGAATATACACCCATTGCAACATCAAGTATCGAGTCACATTTCATTGATATTCTTTTGAATTTTTTGGAAATACCGATGTACACTCTCATTGTCATACACGATTTACAAATATGTACATACCTAAGAAAAATCTGGAAAGCGTCTTCAGAGATATCCGGAATGGTTACCTCCCCTTTCTCGGCCATCGGACCCTCAAACATGGCATAAAACACGGGACTTCGGCTGATGAGGACCAGTTTGTGAGCGGAAATTATTTTCTTGTCTTTGCCGACAAGAAATGTGACGTCAATAGCTATACCGGAAGTGAGGATATGGTCAAAACACTCTGACAGTGTTTTCCCAGTTTGCCAGTCCAATGAAGGTGGTGCAGCGGTCGCCATCATGACTGTGATACCTACATCAATGTTTAAATTTGTTATTTCTGTATTATTTTGTTTATTTGTCAAATGAAAGCTAGACAGGAAACATCAGTTATCACTAACAACGCCTTCTCGTATATAAAGTCACATCATGTATTACACAAATACTACTTTTAAATATAATGTGAATAAGAACAGCCAGTTAACGTATAAGATAAAAACAAGGTTATATTTAATACTACGCAATTTGCTCCCTTATGGGGCCTCACCCTTCAAACATAAGTGCACAGCAATATAACAATGCTATATTTAAAAGTATCCCTGGTGTGTTAAATTACAAACGGTAGCCTTGTTATATCACCAATAGCTTCGATAACACATTCCAATATAAAAGTCGGTTCATATATAAAAAGTGTACAGTTATTCATTCCTTATTTTAACGTCACCTATGCTTGTATATTGTTTACTGTCTTGGCTTCTCCCAGTTGTGCTCCATTTTACGTGACAGACAACGCCATATATCTTATTTTGAAATGTGTGGTCTTAATATATATTATGATCATTATTGATAATTAAAGAGATTATGTAAACCTGTACCATAACCATACATACCTTGTAAAATTTTCCCTTTCCAAAGATAACAGCAGTGTCTTTCCAAGTTAAATAATAGGGTATTTCCAAATGTGCCGGAAATAGACCGTAAGGGTCCCATTAGAGAGTACATGAAGATAGCATGAACGTTATTTATAGAAGAGTTGTTCTTCACGTTCATTCCTAACGGAAAAAAGATATATGACTTTGGAATTAATAATAATACCAGCGAATGTTGTGTGTTGTAATAGTTTAAACAAACTTCTTCCTTCTCGTGTCAGTATGAAGTCAGAGGTTAGTCAATCCTAAATAGTTTAAAAATTAGATTATGTTGGAGGGTTTACAACATACAAAATATATAGATATAATGGTCAATATATAATGGTCAATATCACAAGCTGATCATGTGTGTTTAAATGGGAGACGTGACAACATACCAAATCTATAGATATATCTGCCGATAACACAAGGTAGCCATGTGTGTTTATGGGGAGATGTGACCAAATATATAGATGTAAGGGTCTAAGAATTTTGTGAGAATTTATCATATTGGTTTTTTTTTAATCCTAGTTTAAAAAATTTGCTAATATGCCCTCTACTTGTGGACACAGAAGCGACCTGCTGGCTTTATTGTTGAGCGTTGGCCTAAGTGAGGAAGGCAATGGGTCCTGTCCCCTTGCCGGATTATACCAAAATCCTTTAAAAGGGTAGTTCGTTTTCTGTGCTAAATGTTCAGCATTTAGGGTAATGGCAACATTTGATTCACCCGTTGTCAGTATAATATTACCGGGCGGAATAGTGTGCTGAGTGCCTTCGGCATTGCATTTTAGCACTATAAAGTCGGCATCTGTTCCGCGCTATCACAAGAAGGAAAATACACAAACATACACTGTCTCCAGCACACATACACAGATGCACCCAAGCATAACACACATGGAGGTACGTCCTTGAATACCAAAGATATCAATAGAACGTTAAACAAAATAAAACCAAACTAAACCAATCATTTGATTAAGTCAAGAAGACTATGACGACAATACAGCAATATTGACACTTAACATATTAAGTAACACTATTTAATTATTTGCGTATGGTGCTAGGTTCAGTAGAGGTATATATCGTGTTATAATTACCGTAACTGCTAGTTATACACGAGGCCGTATCTATATTTTGATGATTATAAGATATTCCCCTTTGGTTACGTTATGTTTTAATACAGCACTACAAACAAACAAATATTTCGAGTGATTGCGTTCCTCTCAGTGTAACAAAATGAGTTCTACAAATGTAAGCTAATTGATATTCACATCATATTGTTAGACAATAATAACTTCCGTGTATATTTTATTGTTTATCTACAAACGTGTACTAAAGTACACTTTTATTGTCGACATCGGACAATGACAACTAATGACTGAACAAGTGTACCGGTGTCGCTATCGGCAGTTATATAGGACAGAAGCATAGATAAACGTGTAACTTTAAGGTTTAATAGAATAAAAAAGTCTAACGCGGTTCCGAAACGAAGCAAAATTGGTCCATTTTTGGACCACACAAAGTGTAAAGCGCAACATAAACGAAATATATGAATACTTTAAATGTATGTGTGCGGCTGCCTTGGGCCATCGTAGTTTTTGGCTCAATTGATATTGAAGAAACGCAATAATATATCAAATAAACATTTCTAGTCAAGTAACAGACATAATTTACAATATCACAGCATTTTTTTTTCATGCATATATATACCCTTATGGTACCTCCACGTCAGACGTAACGTCACACTGGTAAACAATATCATATGTCACATTGTTTACGATAAGTAATAAACGGTTACCTATAAAACTTGTTATAATACCCTTAGCTTCTTAGATATACTTAAATTATGTTGATGTTTATGTCAGTGTTCATCTTACAATCTATTATGTTACCTTTATCATTGAGCGGAAACCGTTTATCTTTTAGGATAATTGTTTTAACCCGTTTTCGCTTCCTTTAATTGTACAACCTAGTCGCTAACTATCCTTTACTTACAATATAATGATGCCATTCATTCATGTTATGTGAAAATATATTGATAACATGCTTTGCATTCCGTATTTAATTGTCCTTCCTTAGAAATAGAAATAATGTCCTTTCAAACTGAAAGTATAGTATAAAGTATTACCAATACATCTCGCTATATACAGAAGGGGCCCATTACAGGGTACTATAAGATAGCATAAAATATATACTGACAATCAAGAAGACTTGAGGGAATTTATTCGCCCTAACAATTTATATAATGCATCATTTTATCGCTTTTCAGTGATACGTTTATAATTCGACATGAGCAGGAATGGTAAAATAACCCAAATAAAAATGAAAAAATTATTGTTCGGTTTTATAGTGGATATTGATCCAAATACAAATTTAAATCAATAAGCCAATAAACCACGAAACATTCATTTCGAGGAACCAGACACCAACTGAAGTATATTGAACCGGATAAAACAGGTAAGTAAGGACCGACAATGATGAAGGATAATGTCACAAATAATTTGTTAAAACATGTGTTCACTGATATTTGACTGTTTTAATCCAGGGTACGACGATAAAATGTTTGTCAACAGCGGAAAAGGCGTCACCTATTACTTCATGATAATACAAATTGTCATTGATGTCGTTGGGATTCATGCAAAGGAAATATAGGTCATCTCAAAATTATCAGAGACACAATATTTTACTTTGATGCGGTCCGATTGTCCATTTAATGAAGAAATTATTTTTAACCCGCTGTTGCATGTTTGAACCAATCGCATACACTGTTTTCTGCATAATGTGTAACCAGGTAAGTGAATGTATCTACTTTAATGAACATACATAAAATTAGAGCCTGGCCATTTTACTAAACACGAACAGGATCATCAAGAGTACAATTTATGTTATAAAGAGCGAGTGCTCTCGTCAGAACAACGATGTTTGTTGCATTACACACAAGACATAGGTTTGATGCCCGATAGTTTCTCGAGATAAAAGCAATGTTTAGATAAATATTATCTTAGCACGATATAGTCCAGATAAGTATGTGTTATGGGCTTATTCCGTGAAGGCCTTATATCGAGTAGGAGTATGTATGAGTTAAGAATTCGTCAGTTTAACATATAAAAAACCTAGTGTTTTTTCTTACTAAGACAGCAATTTCGTTATTTTCTGGCAATACAAATATATGGTTATTTAATAGTTTGGAGCATATCCTGAGAATTCTAAATATACTGATTGCATGCGAAGGGGAACGAATGGTTTCGCCTCTCACAGCCGACATGTGATGTTTTAATATGACACCTAATTTATCAAATATATTATCAGGGCAGGTGATAAAACCCTTTCACGGTCCTTTAGTATTATTTTCGTGGCCGCGGTGGCCAAGTGGTTAAGGCGTCTGACATTCTGGCACTAGTCTGCTACCACTAGATCTCCATTACTCGCTCGCGGATTCGAGGCCTGCGTGGAGCAGTCGCCAGGGACTTACTGTAGGTCGGTGGTTTCTCTCCGGGAACTCTGGCTTTCCTCCACCACCAAAACCTGGCACGTCCTTAAATGACCATAGCTGTTAATAGGACGTAAAACACAAACGAACCAAATAAATTTTACTTTCGGATATTGAAAAGAGTTTTGTATCATTTATTACATTGATCGCATATTCATTGATCCTCCTGGACTTCATGTCAACGTCACAAAAGACTCTCCTTGATCCTTATTTGAAACATTGGAAGTTTTCTATCGCGAAACGTTCCTACTAGCCAGTACTTACGTACCTAGTTTGTCACGTGATCGTCACAAGACTTCCTTGATAAATATCACCAGTCGACCCTCGTTGAGAACAACTTTGCGAGATATAAAGCTTCCATTGTTAAAAAGAAACCATTGCTATCTTTTAGGGTTTACAAACCAAGATATTCATTACTTAGATGCCTGCCTGAGAGTCAAGTGGTAAATTAATTGCTGTTTCAGTTATCTCTCAATTATAGGCTGTCTTGTTACCCAGGGCAGGGAGATATAAATTGTACAGCTGTCACGGCACCTGGCTTGGTGGCCGTTTATATATGTCAGTTAAGCCTAATTGATGACCTCTACGGACAAAGGAAGGCACAACTTTATTTCACGGCTATTTGCATCTGGTTATTGTTTAGTTAATTAATTGTCATGTAAAGATATATTGAGAGTATCCTGTATGTAACAAGACAGTTCCATTGTAAGCCTCTGAGCTAGGTACACGTCTACGCTTACCTTCAAGTCTAATACAAAATAGTACCACACGATTGGAGTTTATTGTTTGTACTACTGTATCCGGGAATCTGAGGGTAACACAGGGGTTACATACATTGTAAAATTTGCCCTTTCCTAAGATAACAGCAGTGTCCTTCCCAACCGAAAGTCAAATAAAAGGGTATTTCCAAATGTACTTGTTATAGACCATAAGGGGCCCATTAGAGGGTACAAGAAGATAGCATAAACGTATAGAAGCAATGATTTACACGTTTATACCTAACAGAAAAAAATATGAATATAATTTTAATAGTAAACCGCCTTATCAATTGAAGTAATGGTGAATCGATAACGTGTTTCAAAACGTAAACACTAAAACAAGTAGGCATAATCCACAATGTATTTAAAAGTCTAGTTTAGTAATGAAGAAAGACCTAACTTTGTGAGTGGTTACTGTACCTTATGCCCGGGTTGTCAATTTAAGATTTATAATTAGTAATAAAATAAATACAATGAAAATACATTTGTTCTGAAACATAAAGAAAACACAAAGAGTGGTGCTTGCGTTACAATACCCTTCAGTATGAATCGTTGTGTCATGTGGTGTCAAGATATTGTTATACCAATAATATTTAAAAACAAAAAGTTTATCCTTACTTTCTGGCAGTGTGGCTTACGTGCGAGAGTTGTCTCTTGTAATAATTTAAACAAACGTGATCATGTAAGTATAGAGCCTGAGGTCAGCATGAAGTATTTTCAAGATAATCTTATGTGGGAAGTTGGACAGCATACCAAATATATAGATATAACAGCCAATAGCACAAAAAGATCATGTGTGTTAATGTTGGAGATGTGAAAACATAGCAAATAAATAGAAACACGGATCTAAATTTTGAAGTTTTGCAAATTGATTGTTTTTTAACCATAGTCGTGTTGAATTCGCAAATTCATCTGTTACCCAGTGCATGTTTCGTAAGAGGCGAATAATGCAGGAACCCCCTGCAGAATTTGCGTATCGTCTCTCTACTTGGGGACACAAAAGCGACCTTCTGGCTTTAATGTTGAGCGTTCGCCCAGGTGAGAAAGGCAATGAGTCCTGTCTCCAGGCCAGGATATACCAACATCCTTTAAATGCTAATTTGTATTCACTGCAGTGCTTAACAATTGGTTCACCCGTTATCAGTATATTGTGACCGGGCGGAATGGTGTGCTGAGTGCCTTCGGCATGGTATTTTAGTGAGATAGCACTATAAAGTCGGCATCAGATCCACACTATCACAAGGAGGTAAATGTACAAACAATCCCTGTCTCAAGCACACATACACATATGTACCCATTACTAGCACAAATGGATGCCCGTCCTTAAAAGAACTAAAAGAGCTATTGATAAGACGTTCAACATTATTGAGGCAAGAAGAATATGACGACATTTCAACAAAAGTAACCCTTTACATATTAAGTAACACTATTCATATATTTCCGCATGATGCAAGGTTCAGAAGAATATATATCGTGTTATAATACCCGTAGCTGCTAGTTATACACAAGGCCGTATCTATATTTTGATGATAATAAGATATTCCCTCGTCGGGTACCTCATATTTTATACAGCACTACAAACAAACAAACATTACGAGAGATCGTGTTCCTCTCCGTGTAACACAATGAGTACAAAAATAAGCGATATTCACATCATATTGTTGGACAATAAACACATAAACTATCGTTAGAAATGATGACTTCCGTGGATATTTTATTGTTTAGCTACCATAGTGTACCACAGCACACTTTTAGAGTCGACATCGGCCACTGATAACTAATGCCTGTAAAAGTGTACTGATGTCTCTATCGGCAGTTAAATAGTATAGAAACACAAATTAACGTTAAGGTTTAATAAAAAATATATATATCTAACGCGGTACAGAAATGAAGCAGAACTGGTCCATTTTTTCACCACACAAAATGTAAGACGGAACATAAACGAAGTATACGAATGCTTTAAATGTATGTGTACTTCTGCCTTGGGCCATTGTAGTTTTTTGCTCATTGGACTTTGAAGTAACACAATCGTTTATCAAATAAACATTTCTAGCCAAGATCTCAACTTTCTAGTCAAGTAACAAAACATAATTTACAATATCACAGCTGAAATATTTTCATGAATTTTGCCCCTTATGGTACCTCCACGTCAGCCGTAACTACACATAGGTAAACAATAGCATTTCTCACATTTTTGACGATAAATTACAAACGGTTATCTATACAAACTGTTATAGTACCCTTAGCTTCTATGATACACTGAAACTATGTTGATTTGAATATCAGTGTTCAGATTACAATCTATTATTATACCATTACTATTGAGTGGAAACCGTTTATGTTTTACTGTAACTGTTTTACCAAATTTCGCTTCCTTTGAGTAGCTAGTCGTTATTTATCCTTAACAGAACATTTTACCTACAATATATTTATGTCATTCATGTATTTTATGTGAAATATATCGATAACATGATTTACATACCTTATATAATTGTCCGTCTTTTAGAGAATAGAAACAATGATCTTCCAAACTGAACGGAATGTAAAGGGTATTCCTAATACACCCCGATATATATGTAGGAACTTACTTATTCCCATGTACTATCTTTGTTGAATTGGGATGTTTTGTGGAAAAAAAATAAACCAAACGTTTTATGTGATACTTAAGAAGAAGAAAATATTACAACTGACCAACCCACATGTAACACCTCAATTGTTCACCTGGTCTAACACTATAGTGAACGGTAATGTGTCCTCTGTTCAACCAGTAATAGTACACTGTAACACGTGCTAAGGAACCCTGCTAAACATATAACTAAGAAGAAATGTGACGTCACTTGCTGTACCGGAAGTGCCGATATGGTCAAATCACCCTGCAATTGTTTTCCCGATCGCTAGTCAGATATAGGTGGCGCAGCAGTCGTCATTATGTCTGTGATACCAATATCGGTGTTCAAATGTGTTATGTCCCTATCATTATCGGTAGATATTAATTATCACACATAATTCTTCTCGTGTATGAAATTTAAGTTTCACAATACTATTCATTAATAATTTAGACGAGAGGGCAAGGACTTCATTGTTCCAAAGCTACCCTCAACTTACCGTAAGACAGATTTGTCTGTTTCTTCCGGTAAGCGAGGGAAGCAGAGAGGTAGGGGTCGTGCCACCAGCTCTCTGGGGTCTGGTGGTACTGTCTCTGTTCCTGTCTCGGGGGGTCTTGCTTCGACGAGTCCCTCTCGTGAGACTAACTTACGGGGCCTAGCGCGATGACGTAATACGTGTAGTTACTCACAACACACAAGTAAACAATTGCTAAAGTCACATTCTTACTGATGACAGATACTACAAACGTCAATCTTTATAACTGTTTTTATATATTACCCATGGTTTGTTACACACATTCAACATTAAAATGATGGTTATATGTACAGATTTGTGTGAACTTTATATTTTCTTATTCATCGCTACCCGTGAATGAACACTGTTGATAGTACACTATACGAGGCTCGCCTGGTTGTGCTCCCTTTTCCGTGACAAAGATAGTGGTTAATTATCCGTTAGATAATAATTTACTTACAATCTTATGCTTTTATAAATGAGTTTTAGGTGAAAATATATCGATTGCATGCGCTACATACCTTATATAACTGTCAAGCCTTAAGACAGAATCAGTCTCACTCCGAAACTATAATAAAATGGTCATTCCAAATGCACCCGAGGTACTCGAAGATAACATGACCGTAATATTTACAAGAGAATATCAAATTAAAAGAGAAATAAATGTTTTACATAGTTGTATTTCATTATGATATATTTATTATATATACAGTTTAACTGCTTTAAAGACAGGTCTTCCTAAAATACAATACACAAAAGCATATATACACCTACGTACACCATCAATGGCCTAACTCTATCCATACCTTACCAGGTCCTATTCAGGTCTTACAAAGGAGGCCATTTGAATGACTGCATCGCTAATTTCTGTTAACAAGGACGTGTGTAGGAGGTAACACGATATCATACTAAACCTTGTAGCCAATATCAGTAGGTAATAATATGACGGTATTCTTATTGATGTTATTGTCTGTTATCTGGTTTATTATTGTTCAAACCAAAGTCCAACCACTTTCATCTACACAAATACAAACAAAGACATTTTACCACAAATAGGGCGAGCTTGAGTGCACTTCAACTTTAGTTAAATGCATGAATTGAAAAAGAAAGTTGAAGAGTAAATAATTACCTTGTTCATATAATAATGTGGGAGGTTTTCGATAGATTAGAATAATAATACCACTTTTTCAACAAACCTGGGTTATATATCGATAATAAAAGTCACACATAAGTAAAACAAAGCTTTATTCGGCAACTAAGCAGAAACAAATATTACAAGTAACTGACACACACACATAACACAGGTAGCATCATACTCGACCTTAACTTTACATTGTCCTTTGTTCAATTCGTAAAGGTACGCTGTAACAAGGAGTTAGAATATCTACCCACACATATAGCCAATCCTGAGCGCAACACTATCCTCTACTCAAACAGAAATTGTATAATTATGTAATGTTTACCCAGGTACTGAATACTTTGTTGTATTTACACGGAAACGAGTTCCTATTGTGTATTTTTTATAAAAGAACCACTAAACGTTATTTAATATGTCCAACCAGAAGTGCTACACTGTAATATATTTGAAGTAGAATGATAATTTATCATGTATAAATACAATGTATCAAAAGACACTCTGTTTCATTATGACATAATCTGATAGTCTATGGTTTTGTAAATAAAAAATGCAACACTTTGACATATATTCAAACATGAACGTTGCAGGTTTTTTTATAAAACATACAATGATTTCTCAATCAATACAGCTAAACTATGTTACAATCAAATAGGAACGATTCACTATGCGATTCGAAAGGATGCATTAACACGAGACAATCAGGACTTTTATATCGGTACATATCCTCTACCTGCATCAGGACAGCAGACCATCAGGTGCCCAATATTATACCAAATGATAAACAGTATACTACTTTGACTCAAAATATACTTCTGTACAGATTTTTTTATTTATAAAACCTTAAAATGACATTTTTATTAAATGTCATAATGACAGTGCTTTGAAAGAAATCTTGATTTATAATCTACTGGTCCAGGGTTCGAATTATCATATTGAGGCAAAGATATGCTTGTGAAAAATGAAAAATTATTGTGAATATATATATATTTATTCCGTATATGAATATATGCTGCAATAAATAGATCAGCAAGTATAAGTAACAAAACAAATTAACAAGTCGGAACGCTTTTTCTTCGGATATAAAACACTGAGGCGGTGACAATGTTTCTTAAAAAAAAATATACAGACTGTTAACAGATGTGACTACACCATAATGATTTTCTATTCCGGAATGTAACTATTAATTCAACTTCATTTCAGCAACAAATACGGCACTTGATTTATATTGTGTCCTAAGACGTTCTGCAAAGCATCAGCCGGTGTCTGAATTGTGATCATTGCATGTTTGAACTGAAATGTATCGCCGACTGCCCCTTTGCTGTAACACATTCTACCATGAGATTTTTTTACTGTTATAGTGTACACATTGCCAGGTTTGAGGTGGATGCACTCGCTGTCCTTCAACAGAACTTCCCCAATGTCATCGGATTCGCTTTTAACCCGATAGATCTTATCAGCTTTGTAAACAACTTCGTTATTTTCGTAAATAACTACTTTTACAGTATTGTCTCTGTAGGAGTAGAGTGATCCAAATCCTATTAAGCGTATACTGTGAGATACTGAAAAAGCCACCGACTCAAAATCAGCAAGTTCACTACCGACGATGTTGGGGCCTTGTAGACTTTCCGCAAATAGCCACACTCGTTGTTTTGTCCTATCAATTCTTCTCTCGGTATGATTAAGTTTACTGCCCGGGACCTTCTCAGGGTGATGTTGATAGTTGACGATTTGAACGACATACTCAGCAGGAAGTAGGTTGTGATGACAAACTTCTTTAAGAAAGAAATCAATATCCATCACAGAAAACCGGACAGTATAGAGGATATCTCCTAAGACCTTTCTTTTGTTATCGGGTGTGATCTACAATGAAGAAGCAAACATAATATAAACTTCTTTATTGAAAATGTTATTTTATTTCATGTTTATTTAGTTGTTTTCTTCTGTTGTAATTTTATTTGAATTATCTTTAAGATTGTTACCACGATACATTTTTAATGACGGAAGTGAGTCTGTGGAAATTCATGACACCTTAATACCCCGAGGAGTCTCCATCTTGAAGTGAGGAGAATCTACGTGCTTGTTGAAGGCACTTAGATCTATGATGGGACGCCACGCCCCGGACTTCTTCCGAACCAGAAACATTCTGGAGTAGAACCCGGGAGTGCATCCCGACATAGGAACCTCCTCGACCGCGCCCTTGGTAAGCATGGTCCTTACTTCCTCCTGGAGCGCCAGAGCCTTTTCCGGATCCCCCGGTGGAGGAAAAAAGATTGGCTCTGACGCTAAGGGCGGATCCCGCACTAGCGGAATGCCTAACCCCTCCTTGATCACAGACAAGGTCCATGCGTCTTCCGTAATTTCCTTCCACTCTGGAAGGAAAGCAGAAAGACGACCCCCCACAGGAAGATCTGGTCGAGGCAGATCGAGACCTTGCCAGGCAAGAGAATCGTCTGCTGACCCGAAGCCTAATCCTGCGGGAGAAGGACCTAAGCTTGAGCCGAGAGGACTGCATTCCTCCCGGCCAAACTCGTCGTCTGACACGACCAAGGAGGGAAGAAAAGAGTCAGGAACCCTTCTTCTTACCCCCAGGAGGGTTCTTACCCTTCTTACCCTTCCATTTGTTGCCCTTGAAGGGAGGCTTATACTTTGGCTGCGCAGGGGACTGCGAAGCCGAAGGTTTAGCCTTCTTCTTAGGAGGCGCTGACCCCTGCGAGATACTAGCCTTCTCAGCCTGAATCCTCTTTACCGGAAGTGCAGAGGCGACCGAGTCCTCCTTCAAATCCTTCTGAACAGAAGGAAGGGCCCCTCCAAAAAGAGTGGACGAGGAGAAGGGGGCAGTCAACAGTCTGGAACGGTAAGGCTCATCGACCGGGCGATTTTTCAAAACTGAAAACCGCCTAGCCAACAAGACATTGACGAGGGATGACACCTGTAAAGCTGCCAGCGCTCTCAATGCCCCGTTCAGGGCAGAGGTCACTCTGTCCTGGATGTCGGCCTGCTCTGTCTCGGTAATCCGACCCTCAGGCAAGTCGGATACCCTATATAGACAAACCGTCAGGTAGTCTATATACGACAGAATCTGGATGGAGAGACGCAGCAGTCTCTCCATCTTGTGGTGTTCTTTGGGACCGAACACCACCTGGTCCACCGATTTACCGGGCCAAGCTGCAAGTTCCCTCGATTCCAGCTTAGCTGGTTGAGGGGCAAGCAGACCATCATGTGTGGCATAGTCAGTGGCGTGCACCTCTGACAAATCGCCAACACTGAGCTGCAACCCAGCATACCCAGGACTACGGGTTGAAGAAGAATTCTTCCCTAAAACCCGAGACTGGGCGGTGGCCAGAGCTGAAGACACAATGGTGCCTTCTGGCAGAGAGCGGTCCGACCGAGCGGACACCCGAGGAGCCACCAAAGAACCCAAAAGGGTGGTGGACTCGGGGACAGATGATGCCGAAGGTGGTGGGCAAACCTCCTCCCCAAGAATCCGGGAAACGTCAGCCCTAAGGCCCCGCATACCGGATAACACATGCTGGGCCTCAACCTCAGCAGCCTCAGGGTCTCCCTCATCCTGGAAGTCCTCCTCTGAGGGCAAGCCCTCCTGAGGACTGTCGTCAGACGACTCGGAAAGACCAGCGTCTATATCCGAACAACCAGGTGAAAGATGAACAACATCATTGTCCTCTGCCATACCCGCGCCCTCAACGTCCATAGCCTCCACACCATCCAGACCAGAAGCCTGGGGCGGAGGAAATGGGCCAGCCAGAGGGGCCAACCCGAGAGAAGGCTCCCCGTACCGGCGTTTAGGTGCAGTGCGCCTAACGGCCGTGGCTGTAGGTTTAGGCTTAGTAGCCAAAACCCTACCCTTGGACCCAGAGACCAACGAGCCTGCCCGAGAGGCAGAAGTCCTAAAGGTCCGACACACCTTCTTAGGACCGGCCGATAAGGCCCCCGAAGTAGCAGAAAGTTGGGGGGGGTCAACAGAACTGCTAACACGTCTCCGCGAGGGAGAGACCAAACCCCAAGGATTCCATGACGGAAATGCCATGGGGTTAAACCCATATCCCGGAGGATAGGGGAAAGGTCCCGCGGGCTGGGAGTGACCCCAGAACTGGCCAAACTGGCCTGCCTGAGACTGGGGCTGGCCAACTTGCCCAAAGGGCGAAGGTGGACCGCCACTCCCTCCAGGTGGAAACCCGGACATGTACGGGCTAAGCCCGTAACTGCCGGGATGCTGTCGCAACCCAAAACCATCCGCAGGCTGGTAAGGGCGGCCCAAGGATGGTTGCCCGCAGGCACCCGTATACCCTAAGCCAGGGGAAAACGGAGGCCGGAAACCGGCCCCCTGTCCAGCAAACCCAACCCCTGGGGGGAAACCCCCCAGGTTCCCAGAAGAATGAAACTCGGGACCGGACCTAATAGGACCGGGTCCGGGTAACTGACCGGGAGGGTATGCCTGACCAGCATTGATGCCGGGATTAGTGAGCTGCGCGTCACTAATCCCGGTAGACACAGACAATCCCGAAAGAAAGTCTGTTGTCACACCAGGACCTGAACCCGAAAGAACAGGCCCGGCACCAAGACTGTCCCCAACGACCGCACCACCTGGAATGCCGGGATCACTGACAGAGTCAGTGACCGGCGGCCGGTAGTCCCTACCCGAAGGCAAGCGCGAAAGCTTACGGGCGTTCCCGGCCAATTCGACCCTTGGCTGTGCCAAGCCAGGGTCAGGCTGCCCCTCCCCTACTCCAGGGAGTTCCTGGACAGGAAGGGCCACCCCCTGCTCACGAGAGGGACTTGCCGAAGCAAGACCCCCCGAGACAGGAACAGAGACAGTACCACCAGACCCCAGAGAGCTGGTGGCACGACCCCTACCTCTCTGCTTCCCTCGCTTACCGGAAGAAACAGACGAATCTGTCTTACGGTAAGTTGAGGGTAGCTTTGGAACAATGAAGTCCTTGCCCTGAGATTTTGACTGTGAACAAAGTTCACAAGGCGAAACCTCACTGCAAGGACGACACCTGGGACAGGCATCATGAGGGTCCCGTTCCACAAAGAAATGGGAACACCCATGAGCACTACCTCGTCGCTGTCCCGACCGAGACATACCCTCCAAAGCGAACGTAAACAAAAAATTTACAAGCAGATAAAACGGGAAAATAAGGATAAAATACGATAGTACAAAGTACGCAACGTAGAAAGAATTTCACCCGTAATATAAATCAGAAAACGGTTAAAATAAATAACGTTTGCCGAAACAAACAACCGTCACCGAAATAAACAGAGGTCGGAAATTAACCCACGATAATGGCGGACCGTGGCACACCACCGGCACACGTGGAGTAAAATAACCGGCCGTAAAAGGCACAAAAATAATTTTCAACAACAATTAGTTATATCAATAAGGGCAGATGGGTAAAAGGCACACAAACTGCGCAAAAATATGAGTTGACACTCAAACCAAACCGACAAAACAAAGTTTTGAATTGGAGCAAGCTCCGTGCGTCAGCATGCAGCAGGCGCCATAAAAGGAAGAGGAAGGGAGATCACTCCGTGGCTCTGTCATCGAGATAGAGGTTACGTCACGGTAGGGAGGTAGGGATATTTGAATCTTTTGTTTTTGGGCTACAAAGATGGGTGTAGGTATTGTATATGCATACTAAAGTTATGGTAATTATTACTGAAATGAAATGTATTTTTCAACTGTTGGGTCACTCTGTTGAGACCATTGAACAGTAAAACAGCATTATAATGTTATTAATGCTAGGCCGAGGCTCAATGAAAATGACCGCCTCCGAGACAACGGCTTGGCCGCTGGTATCGGCCAAGCCGTTGTCTCTACACGTTTCATGTCCATCGAAACACAATCCGGGATTTTTGGAGACGACATCAACAGTTTGGCCACGTCGGCGATCGACCTCGTGCGGGACGACTACGTGTGACATCAAGTCAACAGGACAACCATATTTAGCTTGTCCATTTGAGAAAGCTTCCAAACGGCAAGTTTGACTGCACGGACAAGCGATGGTTTGCTACCAATAAGCCCGAGAATTGTACGGAATCGATTGCGTGAACGAGCTATCCGTCCGCGACCTCCAGCAATCCGCCCAGTTCTTCTGCCACGTCATCGTGTAGCACGTCTGGCCTGGTGCAAAGGCATCTGCAATTTACTCGACGGGATTGGGCACGCATTTTGTTTACGGACGAGTCGCGAGTCCACCTGGATAGTAGTCACGGCCTTTCCAGAGTTTATCGCCACGTTGGAGAACGTTTCAGTGACGCGTGTGTGCTACAACGTCGTTATTTCGGTGGAGGCAGCGTTATGATTTGGGGTGCATCACAGCAAACGAGAGAATACCTCTGGTGGTTGTTAACGGGCATTTGAATGCGCTACGTTACCCCGACGAGATCCTCTGGACCCACGTCGTTCCATTCGTGCAAGGGCAGCAACGTCACATTACGCAACAGCAGGACAACGCCAGGCAACACACAGCTCGTGTCGCTATGGACTTTCTGGCCCAGCAGAACGTTGACGTGTTGCCCTGGCCTGATGTATCCCCCAATCTATCGTCCATTGAACACGTCTGGGATGAAATGAAGCGCATATTACGGGCATTACCCAATCAACCGGTGACGTTGGCTGATTTGCCTGCAGCGTTGGTACAGATCTGGAATGCCATCCTACAAGCATTCTTGAACCGTCTGATAGGCTCCAATCGTCGACGTTGCCATGCTTGCATGCAGGCAAACGGTGGACATACGAGGTATTAACTTTGTGAACTCAGTATTGACCCCTATTGTATTTACGTCACTCATGAGCGGAACTTATTGATTCCATAACGTGGAAAATGGAATGCAACTGTTAATAAATAACAAATAAATTGTCCCTGAAAACCTTGTTGTTCTACGTCATACATATTTATTTTTATAACACATTTTAGGCATGCACAGTTTATTTTTCCGCTAGTATACATATATTTAGCATTCATTATTCATTATTATAAAATTATAAATCCTTGGAATATTCATATTGCTTTGAAATTCTGTGCGAAAACTGGAAAATATATTACTAGAAATCTTTTAGATGAGCAAATAAATCTGTGTTTTAGAAGGAATTATCTTAAATATATATAAACATTGAAATGTTTCAAATGAAATTAATGATACAAAACAACTTACCTCGAGGTTCTGACGAGCACATTCTGCCTCCGCCCATCTGATGATGGCTTCATACACGTTGTTCTCAGTAACACGAAGATTATCAGACTCCGTTATACTTGTAACACAGCCCACACACAGGTCAGTGAAGGCTTCAGAAGTCAGAGCAGCGGTAGGGTTCTCATCAATGAATCGAAGACAGTCCGATTTCAAACTATCCAACACGAAGACATGAGCCTGCTCCAGAAATAGACAGGCGTTATCAGATGATAAATTCGAAGCAAGGAATTTCTCGCAGTGAGAAACTAAGATGTCAACACAGTACTTCCTGGCAGCGTTTAACACGGGGACCACGTTCCTCAACGTCAGGTCAATTGAGTCTGTGTACAGATACCTATATAACATAAATGTGATTAAATGCATGTGATACATATAACATGGAGTACAGAGCTACATTTTAAACACAAATGTTGTACCGAACCATTTAAGTGTCAGTATTACTATTTTTGGTACCGGTAGCTATAGTTACATTGCTTAGTACACTACCATCGTGCTCAAATCAATGACAAACCAAAACAAAGTATGTTAAAGGTTATATCAAAGTTTTACCTAATATTAAATGTACGTATACAAAAAATCGCAGCGTTTCAAGACCGACTGGTCCCTTTGTCAAGATATGACTGAGTGATCTATTTGTATTGTTCTGTTCGACACAGTGTATGCGCTTTATATCAATTTGCAAAACGTCCCGGTTCGAATGACATATACATATACAGCAGATGTACATGTAAACAATAAAGTAAAACTTAAATCTAACATAGTTCAAAACGGATGAATGTTATTGAAGATATTGTAAAATGGTAAACCTCCAGAATTATAATGTTACTCTGTGTTTGTTGCTTGTTTTACGAAATCATTACATATGTGCCAGTAATAACATTGTAGACAGAACAACTCCTTTACAGGACCCAAACTAGTTGACTTTAACGAGATCGCATCGTGAAACAACAGGTCAATACAATCACAAACCAAAGGATGCATACCTCAGAAACAACTTAAATGTCTCATCAGAAATATCCGGGATTGGTATATCCCCTTTCTCGGCCATCGGACCCTCCAACATGGGGTAGAATACTGGACTTCTGCTCATGAGGACCAATTTGTGGGCGGAAATCCTTTCCATTTCCTCGCCGACAAGGAATGTGACGTCACTGACTATACCGGAAGTGAAGACATGGTCAAAGCATTCTGATAGCGTTTTACCAACTTGCCAGTATGATGAAGGTGAAGAAGTTGGCATTTCATCTGCATAATCAAAGTTAGTGTTATACCTTTATATCTGTATGATGATGAAATCATTACTGTAACTTTTACATTGGTACGTTATACCGTATGAAAATAGTTTTTAGAAATAAGTACACTAAAGTTACATTATGTATCATTTTCGTTGCAGTGGTAAAATTGCTCTTAAAACTATCAGAGAAAAAGACTGAATATATAAGTAACGCAATAATTACCCTAGCTTAGAACATGTAGTGACTAAATGATTCATTTTCTTTTGTAAATTACATGTTGATAAATAACAATTGATTTAGGATCAACTTTAAGCATTATTAATTAGCAGTTGTGTAAGCATAAGCGATAAAGGTAAGTTAAACACGAGGCCGGAGTTTCCCCTTCGGGTACCCCAATATTTCAAAGTAGTGTAAATTAGTGCATGTAAACAGATGCTATAGCTATCGTCCCTCTCAGGGTACAGGTCCAAGAAGAACAAGTTTTCAGAACGATGCTTTGTATGTTCAAATTAAAAAGTTAAAATTAAAATTATCCTTAGAACTGATCGCAAGCGACAAGTTCATGTTGGTATTAGTTGCATCAATTGTCTTACAGTATAATCATTATCGATAACTAAAGATATTATGTAAACATATACCATAACCAGGGGTTACATACATTGTAAAATGGTCTTACAGTATTATCATTATCGATAACTAAAGATATTATGTGAACATATACCATAACCAGGGGTTCCATACATCGTAAAATAGTCTTACAGTATTATCATTATCGATAACTAAAGATATTATGTGAACATATACCATAACCTGGGGTTACATACATTGTAAAATGGTCTTACAGTATTATCATTATCGATAACTAAAGATAACATGTGAACATATACCATAACCAGGGGTTACATACATTGTAAAATTGCCCTTTCCTAAGCTAACAGCAGTGTCATTCGCAACCAAAACATACTTGATATAGACCAGGGGCCAATTAGAGGGTACAAGAAGATAGCATAAACGTATAGAAGCAATGGTTTACACGTTTATACTTAACAGAAAAAAATATGAATATAATTTTGATATCAAAAGGATCTATCAATTGAAGTATGTTTCAAAACCTAAACATTAAAACAAGTAGGCATCATCCAAAATGTATTTAAAAGTCTAGTTTAGTAATGAAGAAAGACCTAACTTTGTGAGTGCCTACTGTACCTATGCCTGATTTGTCAATTTAAGGTTTATAATTAGTAATAATATAAATGCAATGAAAATACATTTGTTCTGAAACATAAGAAAAACACAAAGATTGCTGCTTGCGTTACAATACTCTTCAGTATGAAACGTTGTGCTATGTGGTGTCAAAAGAAATTGTAATACCAATATTATTAAAAAAATATGTTTATCCTTACTTTCTGGCAGTGTGGCTTACGTGCAAGAGTTGTCTGTTGTAATAGTTTGAACAAACGTAATCTTTGTATGCACATGGTTCTAGTTAGTATAAAGTCTGAGGTCAACATGAAGTAGCTTCAAGATAAATTTATGTGGGAAGTTTGACAACATACCAAATATATAGATATAACGACCAATATCACCAGGTGATCATGTGGTTTTGTTGGAAATGTGAAAACATATCATACCAAATAAATAGGTATACCGATCAAAACAACAAGTTGATCCGCTAATTGTATGTGGGAGATGTGACAACATACCAAATTTATAGAAATAAGGGTTTTCCCCCTAGTTGTCGTGTCGAATTCGCAAATTCATCTGTTACCGAGCGCATGTTTCGTAAGAGGCGACTAATGTTTGATCCCCCTGCACTATTTACTTATGATCTCTCTACTTGGGGACACAAAAGCGATTCTGGCTTTGATGTTGTGCGTTCGCCAAGGTGAGAAAGGCAATGGTTCCTCTCTCCAGGCCGGGATATACAAATGTACCAAATTCCTTTAAATGGTAGATTTATTCACTGCCTAACAATTGTTTCAGCCGTTGTCAGTATATTGTGACCGGGCGGAATGGTGTGATGAGTGCCTTCGGCATGGTATTTCAGTGAGATAGCACTGTAACGTCGGCATCAGATCCACACTATCACAAGGAGGCAACTACACAAGCATTCCCTGTCTCAAGTACACGTACACATATGCACCCATTAATAGTACACATGGATGGCTGTCCTTAAAATAACTTAGCTATTGATAAGATGTTCAACGAAATAACACCAAACCAATCATCTGATTGAGACAAGACGAATATGACGACAATACAACGATAGTGACCCTTTACATATAAAGTAACACTATTCATTTATTTCCGTATGATGCAAGGTTCAGAAGAAATATATATCGTGTTATATTACCCGTAACTGTAAGTTATACAAGAGGTCGTATCTATATTTTGATGATAATAAGATATTCCCCCGTCGGGTACCTACTATTTTATACAGCACTACAAACAAACAAACATAACAAGGGATCGCGTTCCTCTCAGTGTAACATACTGAGTACAAGAATAATTGATATTAACATCATATTGTTTGACAATAAACACATAAACTATCGTTAGAAATGATGACTTCCGTGGATATTTTATTGTTAAGTTACCATAGTGACGTCACTTGCTGTACCGGAAGTGCCGATATGGTCAAATCATTTGCCAGGGTTTTCCCCGATTGCTAGTCAGATATAGGTGGTGCAGCAGTCGTCATTATGTCTGTGATACTAGTATCGGTGTTTAAATGTGTAATGTCTCTATTACATGCGGTAAAGTTAATTATCACACAGAATTCTTCTCGTGTATGAAATTTAATTTTAATAATACTATTCATTAAGAGGTTAGATGAAAACAGTTGTTTATCGTTTAAGCTAAACACAAGGTTATATTTTACTACACATTCGGTCCCTTATGGGGCCTCACGCGATGACGTGATGTATGAAGTTACTCAAAACACACAAATAAACAATGGTTTAAATCACATTCTTCTTGACGACAGGAACTACAAATGACAACCTTTTCATTTGATTTTATATTACCCGTATTTTGTTACAAACATTCAACATTACATTATGTTTATATGTTTAAATTAGTGTTTACTTTATATTTTCTTCTTTTACCTTTACCCGTGAATGAACACTGTTTATAGTACACAATAAGAGATCACCTTGTTGTGCTCCCTTTACCGTGACAAAGATAGTTGTTAATTATCCGTAATATAATAGTTTACTTACATTGTGATGCAGTTATACATGAATTTATGTGAAAATGTATCAATAGCATGCGCTACATACCTTATATAATTGTTCGTCCTTTGGATAGAATCAGTGTCAATCCAAACCGAAAATTAAATGAAATGGTATTTCCAAATGCACCCGATATACATGGTAAGGGGTCTAGCAAAGGGTACTTGAAGATAGCAAAGCCATTATAAATATGAAAAAACGTGTTTTAAACATATCTAAGGGAAAGAAATAGCATATGAATTCAGAATTGATTTCAACATAACATACAGACCCGTATACGTCAAAACGCTAAGGAAATGCTACGCAAACGGTACGTTAGTGCTACGCAAACAGTTATATTTGAATTAAAATTGTTCACACCAATGTTATAACTACATATTTCCATTAACAAGAATTTCTTATTAACCACATTATCCAAAAATACGATGTCAAGTTAACGTTTAATACCGATAAAATGAGACATAAAATATAAACTGCAATAACAATTTGTCCATTATCTGTATTAACTATTTCATCATTAAAAATGATGTTATTTTCTTCATTTTATGAACAGGTAAAATTACTTAAAGATAAAGGCAACTAATATTGTTATGAAAAATGATAACATTTGCAAAAGCCAGACTCGGACACCGAGTTAACAATATCAAATAAGTTGTTCCACGGAAATTGGTACCGTCTTTATTTCGTTCAAATTGATCAATATACAATTGTACCAATATAAATGATTTGGAATCGATAAAGTGTTCCATAAAGTAATCTCAAGCAACACGAAGCAAGAAAGCACGCATATTTAAAAGTGTATTTATTGATGCAGAAAGTCGAACAATGTCAGTGTTTCCTGTACTGTATATCTACGTCCATTTAGAACTTATCAATAGTACTAATATCATAATTGTTCACAAACACATGTAGGAATACAGCAAAGGAAAAATATGACCGTTTTATACCACCCTCTTTTAGGTTAACATACATTGTATGTCAGATGATGTCAGTTTGCATGATTTAAGTGTACACTACCATTTTAGAAAAAAGACAGTGGTTGCCTACATCCTGTTGGCATCACTTAACAGCTGATGATGACAGTTTGTAATCGTTTTAATAAACTATTCTGCGTCGATACAATAAACTATAGGTATACAGTCAGAGGGCATTCGATGCAAAGAAGCTATTAGTCAAAAACATTGACAATGGGTATCTTAACGTATATAAAATTATAGAAAATCGTTATTGGAAAATAGGCGTTAGGAATAATGAACCAGCTATTAAAAAATCCAGGTATAAACTGAAAGATCCCTTTAAATGAGAAATATATTCATGACATATTTAATATGTATGCAGGATAAATGCGTTAAAACATTTCCTTATATAACAATATACAACAGCATGTATACACCTACGTACACCCTTACTCTATTCATACCTTACCGGGTCCTATTCAGGTCTTACAAAGGAGGCCATTTTTGAATGACTGCGCCGCTAATTTCTGTTAACAAGAAAGTTTGTTAGAGGTAACACGGTATATCATACTAAACATTACGGCCAATAACAGCAGGTAGTCCTATGGATGTGTTATTATTGTTGTTTTCGTCTGCTATCTGGTTTATCGTTCAAACCCTATAAACGGGATAGCCTCTATGTAAACTAGGTCGTCCATACTACAGTAATGTTATATGTCGATGGGTATATTATGAACTATTCGTCATTCATACCATTTGAGTCTTCGGGACAAATATAATTGATAAGCATTCTCCTTTGTATTTGTCAGGTTATGCAAATAAGATGATGGTTTTGACAAAACGTTTTATTGAGCATATATTTGTGTTGGAATTCGCAACAGAGAGTAAACTGGTATTTGTTGCTTTAGTTTAGAAAATAATAATAAGATATACATTTTTAAATGAATAAGCATGGATTGTCTGTTCTAAAAGGAATACATCGTTAAAGGCAGGTAATAGTCGCATATTTATAAAAAATCATCTACACATAACAGGATTGCAGTTTGAGATTAAATATATAAATAATAACTAAATAATTCATCAATATTCAAATAAAGCATGGATATTCGCTACAGGTTCAGGGAAAGAAATTACTTGCTGTATCACACTCCATATCATGAAAAATGACAAATGTTGGACTCCCTTTACATTCAAGGTTTTCCTCTGCGTCTTCTGCTGAGGGTGATTGAAGGAAACAAATTGATCTACTGTCTTCATTACCACGTTTATAATCTATTATGGTCTCTTATCGTTTTTAATCAACTTTTTTCAGCAAACCTTCCATTTTGACCTAAGGAAGGAAATAAATCGATCTGCAACCTACATTGCTACGATAGGAATCTTTCTATTTTCTCTTTTCTTTCAAACAACCGTATCGTCTCTAATCGCCTTTTTTTCAGGAAACCTTCCATTTTGACCTAAGTATGAAATATCCGTCAAAGGAAGGCAATTGATTCTGTCTCCACGCCGGGACATCTCAAAGTCCTTATACTAGGTAATTATTATTCATTCCTTAACAACTAGTTCACGCTATATCAGTATAATGTGACCGGATGGAATACTGTAATTGGTGCCTTCGGCGTGGTATTATATTTAGGTAGCACTACATAGTAATCATCAGATCGGCGCTAACGCAAGGAGGCAAGAACGCCAACATGCATTGTAACCTGCCTCCAGGCATCGTTCACACATGCTTGCGTATATTACACGCATATACGTACGCCCTTAACTTACCTTATACCCTATCAACCGAACAGCCGTTTATAACTTCATCATTCCCATCAAAACCAAAATAATAGAAAAAGAAATGTTTTAAATGCTTTAAGTATTACAAATTGCTGTTAGAAACAAATACTTTATCTGTCTGTGTTGAACCATGTAAGTATATTGCATTTAGTTATTTGCAGTATATGATCAAAGATCATTTACTGCATACCCTTTCGTCGACACCATTGAAACAATGAAGGTTATTTTGCTCTAAGATTTGGAAAGTGAAGTTCTAGGCGAAAAACCCCAGTTATAGATCTTTTCAAGGAAAAAATGTTTAAACCACCGACAAATTTTAAACGCTGCGGTTTTCATAAACTGTCATTTGGTGGCTAAATATTCATGAGGAAATGTCGTCTGGGTATCCTTTTCACCTTCTAGGACGAAACAATCTAAACCTATCAATTAATATATATATGTTAATTTTCTAGGTCATGTTCTATGGCCTTCTTAAGGCTTGATGATAAAGTGATCAACTCCAATATTCCTGCAGAAATCTTTGTTATTTGTGAGATGGGTTTTAACGGTAAAGTATCATCGTCTCGTCATTTTAATAGTTTTATAAAGTATGTATCAAACACAATATGGAGAGTCGTACATACTCTTCAATTTTGATAGGAAATATTCCGAGGGTTGATAATCAAAAAAATAAATAGTTGACGAGTAAATAAATTACTAGGATATAATAATCCTTTTGCTGAATGTGGGAGTTTTCCGATAAATTAGAGCAATCGTACCACTTTTTCAAAAATATGTTTTATAAATCACAAGTGATAATCACCCATAGGTAAACACATCTTTATTCGGTATCTACGCAGAAACAAATATAGCAAGTAAATGACACACAAATAACACAGGTAGCATAATACTTAACCTTATCCAATGTTGTAACAAGGATACAGGAACTCGACCCAAACATATAGCCAATCCTGAGCACTAAACTATCCCCTACCCAAACATACTGTATAGCCAATCCAGAGCGCTACACTATCCTCTACCCAAACATACTGTATACACAATCCTGAGCGCTACACTATCCTGTACCCAAACATACAGCCATTCCTGAGTGATACACTATCCTCTACCCAAACATACTGTAAAGCCAATCCAGAGCGCAACACTCTCCTCTACCCAAACATACTGTATAGCCAATCCTGAGAGCTACACTATCCTCTACCCAAACATACTGTATAGCTAATCCTGAGCACTACACTATTCTCTACCCAAACATACTGTATAGCTAAATCTGAGAGCTACACTACCCTCTACACAAACATACTGTATAGCCAATCCTGAGCACTACACTACCCTCTACCCAAACATACTGTATAGCTAATCCTGAGCACTACATTATTGTCTACCCAAAAATAATGCATAGCCAATTCTATGCACTACACTACCCTCTACCCAAACATACTGTAAAGCTAATTCTGTGTGCTACACTATCCTCTACCCAACATACTGTATAGCTAATTCTGAGTGCTACACTATCCTCTACCCAAACATACTGTATAGCCAATCCTGAGTGCTACACTATCCTCTACCCAAACATACTGTATAGATAATCCTGAGCACTACACTATCCTCTACCCAAACATGCAGCCAATCCTGAACACTACACTATCCTCTACCTAAACATACTGTATAGCCAATCCTGAGCGCTACACTATCCTCTACCCAAACATACTGTATAGCCAATCCTGAGTGCTACAATATCCTCTACCCAAACATACCGTATAGCCAATCCTGAGTGCTACAATATCCTCTAACCAAAAATACAGCCAATCCTGAGCGCTACACTATCTTTTACCCAAACATGCAGCCAATTCAGAGCGTTTCACTATCCTCTGCCTAAACAGAAATTGTATAATTCTATAATTTGTACCCATAAGTAACTCAATACTTTGTTGTATTTAAACGGGAACAATATGCTAGTGTGTATTAGTATAAAAGATCCGCTATACGTTTTGTAATATGTCCATCCAAAAGTGCTACACTGTAACATATTCAAACAATGATGTATTTTTGTACTGTACATTGATTTTCTTAAAGGGGCATCACGGTTAAGTAACTATTTTTTTTTATAATTTTTTTTTTCAAATACTACATAAACATATCAAGTGAGACTGAAATAGATTCATAAAAATGACTAAATCTAAGATAATCATCGGTATTTCTACCTGTCTGACCAACGTTTTGTTCGGGGATTTCCCTGTACTAGCGCATGCGCATAGCACACCATTTCTTTGTAAACAAAATGACTGGCCGTGTGAAGTAAGCAAAAGAAAAGTGTTGTTCCGTGTCAGCTACGAAGCGAAAAGTTGCCAAATGGTCAAAAGATAGCGCAAGGAGTACGTTACGGAATCATTATTGC